TCATTTGATAATGAAATATATATATATATATCTAAAAGGTTTAAAATGCCTTAAGCTTACAACTCAAATTTTTGAAATATTAAATTGTAAAGATCTGTGTGGGCTGTAACAATCTAGTGAATATTTATTAAAACAAAATTATAAAAATGTTCCAATATGTCCATGCATTTTTATTAAGAAATCTACGTATTAATTTTATTATGATTGTTGCATACGTAGTTAATTTAGATATAATTACGACTCTTGAAGAATTTTCTATAACAGTTGATTCTTTGAAGAAAGAATTTGAAACTAAATATATGAGAAAAAAAACAAAATTATGTTTTTTGTTTATGAATTCAGCATTTAACAAATAAAATTCATGTTCATCGATTGGTATATATAAAAAAGATACCAAAAATGATTAATTACTCTTATGGTTGTTCGATCACTCGATGTAGATAAAAAGATCTCTTGAAGATAATTAAGAACTATTTGTTTGTAAGGTACCTTATCTTAATGTAATAGGTGCAACAATTAATATTCAATATGAGTATAATATTTTCTTAAAAAAATTTATTAGCAAGATATAATTTTTCTCACGCTAAAAGTATTAGACTGTGGTTAAACATATATCTAGATATCTCCGGTAAACAATAGGCACAAACTTATTTTATTCAAAATGATTAAAACAACAACTAAATTAGTTACGAAGATAGCATAGGATTTATATATTCACATAAAGCTATATCTCAAATAGGTTATTCGTTCATACATGTTAGTACAACAATATCATAGTCGTTTACAAAAGAAATAACAATTACTATTTTTTCTAATTGTGCAGAAATACTTGTTACACATAAAACAAATGTATGGTTGAGATTTGATGATTCGGTATATTCAAGAGATACGTGGTCTATTTTATATATAAAAAAAAAAAATGTGTCTAACAATACTGTATAAAGATAATATTGTGTGCGTAATTCAGTTAAAAAAAATATTATCAAGAATGAATAAAACATATTTTTCAAAAATTCATAATCTTCTAAAGAGTTGTGATATTGAAGTTAAACAAATTGTTTCAGAGTAACAAACCTTGAGAAATTGGTATCCAATAATATTGGTATACATCTCTTAAAAGAAATAAAATAATATTTTTAATACATATTGTATTATTTTTTCCATAACCAAGATTTTGTCTTACTAAATTTTTTCTGTTAGATTTTTAACAAGATAACAATTTTATTTTAAAATTGACATTCAATGAGAAGCACCATAAATTCTTCAAATTCTATAAATTATGAACCTATATATCTCTTCCCTTTCCAAAACCTTCTAATTTATTTTTAATTAAATTCATTAATTATATATAATGTAGCGAATTTTTTTTATTTATATTTATTTCTTGTACTACTGTCATATTTTTTTTTTTTTAATTTTATAAATAATTATTTGGAAATTAGTTTATTACTAACAACATCTATTTGAAAGTTAAAAAGTTTTCTATTAGCTATTACATAACAAGAGCCACAATTTCAAGCTTGAACCGAAACAACACTAAAGATGGGTGGTAGTATTAAAAGTGAACTTCTATCTGTACCAACTTTTTAATATTAAGAAAGAGAAAATGGGTTGGTCATAGCCGAGGTCAATTTCAATGGCTTCCCGAGGGAAATTACAAGATTCGTGCAGCAACTCGCTACTGATCGTCGATGCTGTCAATTTTGGAACTCGTATGCATGATGATGAACAAGATTGAATCTGAACTCACGGACTATAAAAAAATAAATTAAAAGGAAGAAAGAGATAGAGATGAGAATGGAGATGACACATGCAGAGCTTCGTGTCAAGCTTCATGCAGTCGCACCTTACAGGTGTCCCACATAACTCCACCTCCCCTCATCCATGCAAAGCCTTGCTGTCAACCTTCTTCATAAACATCTCTTTCTTCCTTCCCTCTTTTCTGTCTTCTCTCTCTGATCAGTCGACTCTGTCTCTTCGTTTCGCTCTCAAACATAATTATCAACAATAGATCATAAATATAATTCAATTGTTGGGGTTTGAAAACAGCTTGGTTTTAAGTATAAGTATATAGATTGCAGGTATGCCGGTTCGTAGATACGCATTTGGGAGAGTTGAAGAGGTGACTCATCCTGATTCAATCAGAGCCACCTTAGCCGAATTCCTCTCCACTTTGGTTTTTGTTTTTGCTGGCGAAGGCTCTGTCCTCGCTCTTGGTACCTTTTCTTTTCCAATTCTCATCACCTTCTTGATCAATATTAGCTCTACTTAATTAGGTACACCCATATATCTACATCTGTTTTATTATAGAGGTTGACATGTATGCATGATCTAAGTATCACTACTTAGTTGAATGATAAGTATTTCTTTTAAGAGATAAAGTTTGAGTTGGGCTATGCTCTGATGTGTATTTTGAGGTGTTATTATTGAATGATATATATATGTATATATATATATGTTGTTTTGCAGATAAGTTGTATAGAGAAACGGGTGGAGATGTGAGTAGAGATCCTTCAGGGCTTGTGTTGATAGCTCTTGCACATGCTTTATCTCTTTTCTCTGCAGTTTCGGCGAGTATCAACATATCTGGCGGCCATGTCAATCCTGCTGTCACCTTCGGTGCTCTTCTCGGAGGAAGAATCTCCGTCCTCCGCGCCTTCTACTACTGGCTTGCTCAGCTACTCGGGGCAATCGTCGCTTGTCTCCTCCTACGGCTCGTCACTGCTGGCATGGTAATTATGTTAAGATATTATTATGTTTTGTTTTACCAAATCTTTAAGAACACACGAATTTAAGAGTTATTAGATGGGGGTTAGTGGTGGCTTAATTTTAGCAGTTATTTATTAATAATGATTTAATTTCAGCAATAGGTCAGTGGTTATTTATTTTTTATAATGTGTGTTTTTTTTTTTTTTTTTTCTATGTAAGCTGATTAATTTCAGATTAATTCTTTGCATTTCTACAAATTAAACTTCTACTGTGTGTGTGTAAATATACATATATATAATAATGATGATTGGCTTATATCATCATTTATGCTGGTTTACTCTTCAGAGACCAGTGGGGTTCCGAGTGGCATCCGGGGTTGGCGAGCTAAATGGGCTGGTTCTAGAGATGGTGCTGACTTTCGGTTTAATGTACACGGTGTATGCAACTACAATCGATCCAAAAAGAGGAAGCATAGGGATAATAGGACCACTTGCAATCGGACTGATTGTGGGTGGTAACATCTTGGTGGGAGGTCCATTCGATGGTGGCTCTATGAACCCAGCAAGGGCGTTTGGGCCGGCATTGGTGGGATGGAGGTGGCGGAATCATTGGATCTACTGGGTTGGTCCGTTTGTGGGTGGAGGGTTAGCTGCTCTGGTGTACGAGTTCATGGTCATACCGTCGACGACTGAGCCACCACTTATCACCGGTCACCAGCCCTTGGCTCCTGAGGATTACTAGAACTACTGCTGATCACGATCATAGTCATCACATTCACCTTGTTTGATGGTTTACAGAACTACATACAAAATCTTGTGATCTTCTGGTGTTTTGTTTTGGTGTATTTTACGTGCGTGGTAATAATTGCATCTTTCATGGCTCGTGAGGTTTGTTTAGTGATAATAATGCATGAGAATGGTGTATGTGGATAATAAACTAAACCTCTTCTATTATATATATATATATAAACTTCTTGGTTCATTTCATGCTTCCAGAGCATGTCTAATTATTAAGTTTATTTGAGGAGTTTTTTTAAATAAACATTTTTGTGCAATTTGATGTAACTTTGAGAGAGAGTTCTTGTGTTGAAACTAATATAAGGCGTTTGGTTTACTTAAAAGGAGTGATTTGGCTTAACTTACAAAACTGAGTTTTCCCTTTCTATTTTTTTCTGATACATTCCAACTAATTTTCCATTACATGAAAGATTTGTTCTTAAAGCCGCAACTCTTTATCATCATTCATTTGTATCCTCAAGGTCTTAATTATAAAATGACATTTTTTCACTCTTATTCATGTATTACTCGGGTTATTGGTGTATTTCTGGCCCTTCTTTTTATTTAAAAAAAAAGAAGAAAGTATTACAGGTTCTTCTTCCTTATCTCCGGATCCAATTTTCTTTTTTTTTTTTTTTTTTTTTTTTTTTTTACAGTTAACAGGTGTACCAAAAATTATTCCTGTAATAGGATCGCTTTTGGTAAGAGTTATTATGCTCTAGTGCTGGTGTGGGACAAGAAAAGCTGGCTGGGTAAGTACTCGGTTAAAATTATACAACCTTAACACACACAATGAAGAATCTAATACATCTAATCGTAAAATTTTCAATACGAGTCAACTGTCACACACAAATACAAAACTATTAGAGTTTAAGTTTAATTTATCTTTTTTCTCTCTTCTCCTTGGAAGAGCTTCATTTATAACACTGAAGACATGGGTTCAGGCAGGTCAATAAGATCTAAATAAACACTCAAAAACTTTTATTGAAGAAAGAATCAGTTGAATTGAATTGAATCGAATCTTACTGTACACGCTTATAAAACCTAGCAACCCATGAAGCAAGTTCAGTGTTATGAGGTGTTCTGGGATTCTTAGAATAATAATCAGACCAGTAACAAGGTGAAAATCTATCTGTAAATTTCTCACCTGAGTATAGGCAAAATGGCAACCAATCTTCACCCCCATTCATCTTTCTCTTCCTCTCTCGTGGGTAAGCCAGTGGTGCCTGCACATACCTGCAAATATTTTCTAATTATTATTTTCTGCTTTCTTATAATTATTCATGAAAATTACGCATCGTATTCTACTTTTTTAGAGTCATCAGTTATAGACAACTGCAGTTCTCTAAGAATTAGTAAAATAAACTTTTTTATTCTTTTTCAAAATCTATCTTTGTTTTCACTATTGTGTTTTAACTAACTATCATCTCCACTTCTACTCTACAAATACATATTACCATGTAAATTCCATGAGCAAACATGTACATCAATTTTCACAAATATAAAAACTAAAAACTATTTTCTTATACCAAACCCTAATTTCCTTCAATCCTGTCATCAATGAGCGGCAAGACACTGATATTGAATGAGACCAAATACAAAATTAAAAAGATAGGTCCTTAAATCTTTTTCTTCCTTTGCTAATAAAAAACAGATGCTTAAATCAAATAGCTGACTATGATTCTCAACAATATAACCTAAATTAACATAAATTATTTCCTGTCTACTTGCAGCATTACCTTCAATGCTACTCACAGTCAATTTGTTGAGTTTCATCATACCTGATGCCATCAACCACAGCATCCCAGCAAAAATGAGTGTGACCAAACACGTGGCATGAGCATCTACTGTTATCAGTCTTGTGTATGGACCTTATTCGGGACTCAAGATAATCTGAGCCAATAATCTTTGGTAGGTTTGGGTAGAATAGCATCCTCTTCTCTGGACATAGCTCTTGCCTGGAGAAACGTAATATGCACATGAGCAATGTTATCTTTAAAACCCAAATGTCAAGGCAAACATATACCAGCCTATATCTCAAGTTTGCAGGAACATAAACTAGTTAAAAGAACATCTAAAGGAAATTCACAGAATGTTTTGAGTACTGATAGGTACTTAGCCCCTTCCAGATGGATCCAAATTCTCAACAGTTCTGTCTTAACAATCTTGTAACTCCCAGCTTTCTAAAGGAACCTTAAGGTTTGGTATCACTAAAATCATACGACTATTGTTGCAAAAGAGTTTAGTTCTATGATTGGTGGTAAAAAAAAGTTAAGAAGAAAAAGTTGGCTACAAACTTTACAATACAATTTGGGTATCGCTAAAAGGTTTGGTGTCGCTAAAATCTTATACAATACAATTTGTATTTTATTGGACATTAGAACCTTAAATATGCGAGTTAATAGTACTCATACAAAGAAAACAATTAATTACATTGAAAAGGTATATTACTAATATATTCTTTACCCTACTTAACCCACACTTTAACTTCAATATAGACTTTTCAACAAAGTTTAATGACAAGCAACTTGGCAAAACACAATCCAATGATCGAAGAAGAGACTAACTGACCTGGGAACAAAATGAGAAAATGAAATTATTTGCCTACATGTCTTTTTGATATCATTGATAACATCTTGATTCTTTTCATTCATGGCATCAAAATACAATGCAAGAGAAGTATCTCTACTTGAAAGCTCTCCAGGCCACTTGCATGCATGGTAGTCCTTACATGCCTGGATTAAAGACAAGTATTACAGATATTAAAACATTGAAAGTATGATCACAAACTAAGAGATGAACTACGAAAAAATAACATTAACAGTGCATGCTGACAAATAATCCGCAGTGGAATAGAGCAAAAAGGTGAAAATAACTATCCAGAGAAACACTGAAGTGAATAATAATCACGACATTGAAGAAAATGAAACGAATAAGCACTAGAAACCAAATTTTGGTTGAGTTAAATTAGCAACTGAAGAAGATTGTGCTAGACCCAAAGACATAAGCTTAATGTACAGTCTGCAATCAGTAAATGATTTGCAGAGCTATCCTTGGAGAGAGTAGACTTGAGAAATCATGACTAAACTCTTGGTTTGCATATCTTACTGGGTTTGAAGATACTGAACTAAGCTATAGCATGTCTATATCACAATTAGTGCAGATCACTCCACCAATATATCGCACCCTTCCTAAAGCATCCACCTTAGCTATTCATACACGACAACCTCACCGCCAATTCCCTCCACATTACGTCCATAACTAGCTTCTCCATTTCTGTAGAAAATAAGAAGAAATTAGGTTGTATATTTTTCTATTTCCTTTTTATTAGCTGTATACAGAAGAAGTTACAAACAGATTTCCTCCTCCCTATAAAATTGTTAGAATTTTGTTAGAATTTGTTGGGTTTGTTAGCATTTAAGGTGTATAAATACCCATCATTCATGATGGAAAGAACATATGAGAAGCAACATTTCCTCTCAAATTTTTCATGGTATCAGAGCCATACCTGATCCAAGAAAAGTGATCCCTGCTGAGCTGTAATCACAAATGGCCACAGGTGAGCTTCCGTCTTCTCTAGAGGTCTCCTCTGGTTTCTATCATCACACAGCAACCAGTAACGTTGCGAGTGAGATGCCTTCATCCTGCATTACAGGACACAAACTCAACGACAGTAATTACCTACAATGGTCGTCCTCTGTCCGATTGTTCATCCGGGGGAAGGGTCGCTACGGATATCTTACTGGCAAAGTTGTATCTCTCCCAGCGTCTGACTCAAGCGCTCGTGTATGGGAGATTGAAGACAATATGGTGATGTCATGGCTCATTATGTCAATGACCCCAAAAATTGGAGAGAAATTTCTACGAAACTGCTCACAAAATCTAGAAAGTAACTCAAGAATTTTACTCTAGCAAAGAAAACACTTTCGTCATTTTCGAGATAGAGTATGCGCTTCATGATCTTCGACAAGGTGAGTTAAGCGTCACTCAGTATTATAACGTCTTAATTCGTAACTGGCAGCAGATGGATACATTCGAAAAGCATCGATGAAGCTGCCCCGAAGATTCGAAAAACTTCAAATTGTTCGTTGAAGAGAAGTGCGTCTTCAAATTCTTGCTGGGGATGAACAGGAACCTCAACGAGATTCGGGGATGCCACCAAACCCTTGCCGAGTCTTCGGGAGGCGTTCTCTGAAGTCCGACGCGAAGAGAGCCGTAGGAAGGTCATGATGGGTGATGTTGAGTAGACCCACCTGGCTGAAAACTCTTCAACGTTCACAACCCGAGCTGTCGACGCTCAGACGAAGAAGACGAGGCCCTGGTGTGATCACTGTAAGAAGCTAGGGCACAATCGTGAGCGCTACTGGAAGCTCCATGGCAAGCCGAATGACTAAAAGCCTTCGGGTGAGTGGAAATCCTCCAAGACAGAAACCTCAAGCAAGCATCAGGGCAATCATGTAATTGCCAAAGAAATGCCCTTTGATGCTGTGGAGAGCAGCTCCTTCAGTCCTGAATAGCTGGAAGCCCTCCAACATATTTTGTCTAAAAATTCCTACCCGATCAGTGCCTCTGTGGCACACAAAGGTAATATTTTTGGTTTATCTCTTTTTTCAGAAAAAGAACAGGTGTAGGTAGTAGACTCTGAAGCTTCTAACCATATGAATGGAGATACCTCAATGTTTCAGAAATACAACAAGTGTGAAGAAGTTTTTTCAATCAGAACTGCTGATGGTTCCCTTTCAAAAGTAGCTGGAATGGCCTCTGTAAATTTATCTCTAAATTTAACTCTGTGTTCAGTTCTCCATATTTCAAATTTGGATTGTAATTTACTATCAGTTAGCAAGCTATGTGAAGACTTAAAATGTATTGCAAAATCTGTTTCTAGTATGTGTGAATTTCAAGACTTTGACTCGGGGAGGACGATTGACAGTGTTAGGATGAGCTCAGGATTATACCTGCTTCAAATCAACACTTCTCAAGGACAAGCTCACAAAGCAGTATATGCAAACTCTATTTCTGCAAATAATGACTATGATATCATGTTATAACACTATAAACTAAAACATCCAAATTTCATGTATCTAAAAAGGATGTTTCCTTCACTATTCAAATAAAAATATATAGTTTCTTTTCAGTGTGAAGTATATCAATTTTCTAAACATGTTCGAAGTTCATTCCCTAGTTTACCATACAAATCATCAAAACCATTTACATTGATTCCTAGTGATGTAAGGGGACCTTCCAAGGTCCCTAACATCACCGGAACTAAATGGTTTGCATTTTTCATTGATGACTATACAGAATACGTAGGGTTTCTCATGAAAGAAAAATCAAAAGTTGGACCTCTATTTAAAAAATTGCATACAATGATTCGAATCCAATTTCAGACTACCATCCAAGTGTTGAAATCTAACAATACTTGTGAATATTTTGAAGTCACCATTGAAAAATACTTTACTGAACATAGAATTATTCACCAAAACTCTTGTGTTCATACCCCACAGCAAAACGGC